CCCCTCCATCTTTTCCCTCCCATGAACCAGGTTTCTGCTGTGAGTGAACGATACCAGGCATGGCGTGCCACAAGGCGGAAAGAGGCAAGAAAGTTCCACACCGACTACCTGCCGGACTATCTGGCAAGGCAACTGAAAATCTTTTCTTTGTCCGCAACATCAGAGGATGCCAAAGTTGCCAGGTAATTACTGATATTCAGACCATTTTTGTTTGTGCTTTTTCAGAGTTTAGACAGACTAGAATTTTTTAGCGAAGACAGTAACGTGAAGAAACGATAAATGAATGTAAATAGTAATTTGGACCTCAGGCAAGATCGAACCAAGAACTTCCTCTATGATGCGAGTTGACAAAATGGGTTACTTCTCAAAATCCACGAATGGTGAAGTCGTCTGAAATCAGACATACCAAATTTGTAGGTTTTTGACGCATTCAATTTTCGTTAAGTTTAAAAAATCACTAATCCTTAAAAGTTCATATTAAATTGTACAAATCCAACATTTATTAAACTGGATGCATCTATCTGTTCCATTGGGCTGAAATCCGAGAATTGATTCATTTTGTCAGCATGCCTCACATATGGTAGGCCCAGCAATAGGTGTTGCAATAGATTGCAAAAGACGCAAGTTCGTTTGGTGTTTGGAGAAGAAGACCTAGTCTTTCTGCTGGAAGTTTTGTCGAACTAGAAGGATTCTAAAATACAAAGAATACAACCCCATGGGTACAAAATGACCCGAGGGCGTACGGGATATGGTTAAATAAGCTAATAGTGCTGAAAGGGGAGTTAAACCTATGCAATTTCACTATTCTCAGACCCTCGTAAGAAGACATACTCTTATCCCCAATCTGCAGGCGCACCGCGGAGCTACAGTCGGAGATGACGACCAGCTACGCTTCAAGCAGCGTCTGTCTCATCAACCGATCGTGTCTGAGCCTGGACTCTGGTCTGGCCGACCTGATGGCTCGGTCACGTGACCCGCTGGTCCTCCAGGAGGTCTGGTTGGCCTGGAGAGATGTTGTGGGGCCAGCCGTCAAAGATGATTACACCGAGTTCGTGTCCCTGCTCAATGCCGGGGCTAGGGAGAACGGTTAGTGGTGGTGTTGTTTCTATTGTTGTTGTTATTGATGATGCTGTGTGTGTGTGTGTGTGTGTGTGTGTGTGTGTGTGTGTGTGTGTGTGGTAGCCTATCCGTTCGAAAAGTTTGGAGTCCCGAAGAGCGTGCTCTTTAGGCGTCTTTACACTTGTTCCCTTGCAGCAATTCGTCGGGTGTGGTCGTTGTTCATTCACAGAGCCTAATCTCTTGATCGAAGAGTTAGCATTTATGGTTGACACAAAGCTTGGGACCCCCGTTTCAGCTCGAAGCGCCTCGATCGGCGAGGACTTGGCTTGGGTGGTGATCAGTCGCAGAAATCTGTTTTGAACCACCTTCAGATTATTTAAGTTGATGTTGTTGTTGTTGTGGTTGTTGTTGTGGCTGTGGTTGTTGTTGTTGTTGTTGTTGTTGTTGTTGTTGTTGTTGTTGTAGTGGTGGTGGTGGTTGTGGTTAAGGTGGTGGTGGTGATTGTTGATAGAGATAGGGTTGGTAATTGTTGCTGAAATTGCTGGTGGTGTTGGTTTTGATGTCGGTGTCGATGTTGCTGTAATTGTTGTCATGTTGTTGTTGTTGTTGTTGTTATTGTTGTAATTGTAGGTGATGGTGTTGTTGATTTTGTTAGTGTTGATGATGCTGCTGTAATTGTTGTCAAGTTGTAGTTGATTTTGTTGTTATTGCCGTTGTTGTTGTTGTTGTTGTTGTTGCAACTTACAGTGCTTTATCGGTAATAGTGAGTAAAGGGAGAAAATGAGAGCAGGGAGGTTGGGGGGGGGGGGCAAGTATTACACCCATCTTAAGTCATAACACGTAGGAAATCGTAAGTAATCCCTCATTGGTCGACATCTATCATCCTTATAAGTGGGTGGTTGGTGTTTGCTCTGGTACGTTCGCGCCTTCATTCCTATTAAACGTCTAAGGTCCTTATTTCTGGTCCCACTTTTTATGTTTGTTACTCTCTAGTAACACCTGCGATCTTAGTCACTTATATGAACTTGTTATGTTGAAAGTGCTGTAAAGCTCTTACTAAAAACGATCAACTCCACATCGTCCGACCACTCTTTTTCTTATCCATTTCTCCAGGTTTCCGTGACTACAGCAGGTATTGGCGGGAAGATTTGTTCTTCCAGACTCCGGATCTGGACGGAATGCTAGACCATCTGTGGCAGGAGGTCAAACCACTGTACCTGCAGCTTCACGCCTACGTACGCCGGAAGTTGAGGCAGACGTACGGAAGTGACGTCATGGGAACTGACGGGACCATTCCGGCCCATCTATTGGGTGAGAGCGATCTGTTTTTGCCTGGGGGGGGGGGGGGTTGTGCAGTTTATTGCACACCATTTACAGTGTGTGTTCTTAGAATCAGCCATGTTTGTTTGAGTTTACCGTCCCAATTCCTGTTGCCACTGGATTGGTCAGATTCGAGGGCTGGCCCAAGTGTACTGATTCGTTAACATTGCTAGGTCTCTGGTCTTTTGTTTGTCGCGACGCCATCTTGTTTGCTATTGTGTTTCAACATCGTGGTGGTGAAATCAGGAGATCGTCAAAGTATTCTGTCTCCGGGGCTTTATGCCCCCCCCCCCCCCCGCATAATTTAGCAAATTTTGCTCTTTTTTATCATTTCAAATTATTTTCCGTTATCATTCTTTGTTAAAATTAACCGAATCGCATAATTTTACTTTTATAGGCTCAGTTTGGGTATTTTCAAAATTTTTGTTGCCTTAAACTGCGGGAACAATGTAATGAAAGACAAGAAACCGACAATCTTCCACACGTTGGGCAATTTTTATCATTCGAATTTGTTTGGGGAGATGGGGTGTGTCAACATCTTTTACATTCCTTTAAAAACACATTTCATTGTGCCCTTTACTGAAAACGTTGATCAAAGTCAAATAAATCGTAAATTCGTATATATCTATTAAGGACACTTCAACTTTTGAAGTCACCAAACTTGGGGGGAGATAATTTTCTCACTGAATTTATCTCCGACATCAGGCGACCCCTCCCCCCTTCCCCAACACCCATCCCAACCGAATTCACCAGCAGATATATATTAGATTGTTGAAATTTTTCTTCTTTTTTTTT